AATCTGAAGGTCAGTTCAAGCTTTTATTTGCTGGCTAGATTCTTGAGTGTTTGGAGGGAATTTTCTTTCCTTTGTTATTTCAATGAGTTACCTTTGGTCAACTGACCATAAGGAGCATCACTGTGTTATCAGAAACAAAAAGCAGGAGTGAAATGCAATGTTAGGTCACCCAGGTCTTCTGCTTGAAAACTGATGCCCTGTTCTCCAGGCAACACTTTCACTGATCCTATGCCCTTCCAAGGAGAAAGAGATAAAGACAGTGAAAAGCTGGAAAGAAATTTCTGTTTTTCCCTACTACCTACATCTGCCAGACCTTTTCTTCCCAGCTGCCTACTGATCCCTCAGCCTATTTAGATATAATGGGAGATGGGATATAAGTACCTTCTAATGGTTTTGGAGAATGGACCTCCCTCAGTCCTACAGAAATGCTTTCACAGAACACTTTCGCTTGCTATAGGTATTATGGCTCTCAATCAAAACCACCCTATGCTGATATGTGAACACACAAACTCTGATCAGATCCCCACACTACTGTTGGTTCAGCTGGCCACAGACATACTTTCAAAACACTATCCAGGATGGCTTTCTTCTCAAAGTGGCTAATTAATCAAAATAAATACCTGCAGTCAGGAGCCCCTCCTCCCTACAGCACTGCCTTTGATTTGTTCAGTGAAAGCATTCCAAGACATCTTAATTTGTTGCAAGGTAAATTGCAGCAACATCACCCTGAACAATATAGCTCCTCAGTTGGAGATGTGCAAAACCACCATCACTCCCCTTTGAAGGAATCTGGTTTACAAAACAGAAGTTTCTGTTGTTTTGTTTTTAATGACTCTACCAGCACTGAAAGATTCAGCAACAACTCTGGAGTTGTTATCCTTTTATTCCGAATAGAAGCCTACTTTAAGAATAAATAAATAAATACATTTTAAAAGCCCACTTGTGAAGAGACTATTCATTTGCAGACTCTGACTAGCAAGACCAGTGATTAGTGAGCAAGAAACAAAAAAGAAGGTCAATGGGGTGAAGCCCAGGTTCCCAAAGTCAATATCGACAACAGGAAATCCCCATTTTCCAGTCAGGGTTCTCAGCTCTTGTGCTGTTTTCTGGGACTCCCACACTCATTTCGTAAGTTCAGACCTCTTCCCTTTAATAGGGCAGACAACACTGGAGCACACTAATGCACAGCACACTGTCTAGAAGACAGGTGTCAATACTGGATGGCAAAGCATTTTTCTGTATAGGATCTGCACTGTCTGTATAGGACAATTTTCTGTATTTTCACTGTCTGTATAGGACAATTTCTGCACTGTTCTGTATAGGATTCTGCACTGTCTTTCATGCATACACTTGGTCACTCCCTTCCTTATCACAGAATCACGGGATTGTAGTGGTTGGAAGAGACCTTCAGAGGTCATCTAGTCCAGCTTCTGATAAAGCACATTCCCCAGAGTAGGTTCCACACTAAAGCATCCAAGTTGTTTTGAATTTCTCCATAGAAGGAGACTCCACAACATTTCTGGCTCTCTTCACCCACAGGGGCCTCTACACACAGTATTGTATTTCTCACCCCAAGCTTCCTGCTGAATGCTATGCCAAGTAATCCCTATGGAAAAGTCTTCTAACAGATGCTAGTTTGATGGTCATCATTTAAAACCCTTTCACTTCTAATGCACTTCTGGCTCTGGAAAAAAATGCTTTTAAAGAATAAGGTATTGAGACTGGATGGCTATCAAAAAATCAGCCCCTGACAGAATCTGAAAGACCTTCAGGTGTCCCTACTTGTCTTTCCAACCAGAAAATCACTCTTCACCTCTACCCACTGTGTCATATTATGACACAGTAATAATATGACACTGTAATAACAACCTTCTCCAAAATTTCTCTTTTGATGATATTTGCCTCTTGTCCTAATTTCTCATTTCTCACTTATGCCCTACTCCCTCATGAGTTTGGAATCTACTGCAGCAAAAAGATACTGAGTTTAATATAGCAAAGCTTGCCAGAAATTGTTCTGATGCAACAAAAATCATGTCTGCTAGAGGAAAACAAGGCAAAAAGCCTTGCTCGTGGGTTTCTACCCTAAAACCTTCTCTAAATTACCATGCTTTCATTTTCACTTTGCTGGATATGTTTGGTCAGACTATTAGGGAAACTGGGAGTTAGTTTTTCTACCTGGTCTTCATATGTTTTGGTGTTTTGTTTAAGAAAAAAAGAAGAAAGAAAGAAATTGGATTTCATTCTCTAAATGCTCATGTCTTAAGTACCTTGTACCAAAGGCATAGACAAAAGCTTCAAGAATTTCTAGTGGTACTGATTCTCTTTCTGAGGCTATTAAAATGGCTCCATTTAGTAACTGATAAAGGTGCCTTTAACACGTGTCCATAACAAGGAGTATTGTGCACTGTTACAATTGTTCAATAGATGTCCAGTCACAGACAGACAGTGCTTCAGACTCACCCTCTCTTCAGCTCAGCATAATGCATTGTCCTGACAGGGATTAATGGAAGTGCCACTCACATTAGATGCTAATCCTGGTGGCAACTCTGTTACTCCACGAGTGCTATGGCTGCTTCTGGCAACTAATACTAGAGCCAGGTGCTGCACACTGAGGAGAAGAACAATGAGAAACCAAAGTGAAGAGCACAATGCAAGAACCTATTCAACAATGCAGCGAGAAGACCATGGACAAGGGAAAAGAGACATTTGAAAAGGGTCGTAAGAATAATGGAAAAGAAAGAAACACACAGAAGAAGTCAGGGAAAAAAAAAAAAAAGAGAAAAAGAAAAAAAAAAGAAGAAAGGATCCCAAAGATTAAAGAAGAAGAAAAAAAAGATCAAAAACCAAATAGCAAGTGAATGCACAAGACTGTAGAAATGTCTTTTCTCAGCAATGGCCAACACATAACACCATCAGAAAATCATCACTAGAAAGTTGTCCAATAATAGGGAAGAGCTACAGAAAGAAAGGACAGAGAGTGATGGTAAGGATGGACAATGAGGTAGGATTACAGCATGATCTTAACCCTCTGAACACTTTAAAGCATTATTGCCTTACAAAACAAAAAAATAATAATCTAATAAATAGCACTACCCCATCAGCAATTTGTCAAACAAACATAGGCCTTTCACCTTGTATTTCAGAAGTTTTTTTACAAGAGAAAGTGAAGAGAGGGAAGTAAGGGGCTATTCAGAGATGTTTATCAAACCTAAAAAGCCAGACCCTGGCAGCAGATGGTAGATGGAAAACAGGAAGATTTTGTGAAAGAATAGAACAGTATAAAAATATTGGAACGAAGGAATACATCATGACATTAGGAAATAATGAAATTTAAAGACATACAAGGAAATACTTTATACAGTCTGTTGCTCTATTAATAGATAAAAATGAGGCCATGGCATAAATACAAAGGAAATGATAAAGCAAAAGCAGTCTATCATTAACAAGTTTATGCGCTCCAAAGCACATTAAGTCTAGATTTGGAAAGAGTATACAAAACAATAATGTTTTCAAATTTCTTCTGTGGAGAAATGGAGAGTACTGATTAACATGCCATAGGTGTCTGGTACTTTGTATTAAAAAGCTGTGGTTATGCTAAAAAGCAGATAAGCTATTAAATGAGAAAGAAATCTTTGGTTCACGATGTCAGTCTGCTGCAAATCACTAGAGGCGGATAGGGTAGGTACACCAAAAGTCAAACTGTATGCTTCTGTCACCTTCCTGCTCTTATTTATCAGGCATCTACTACGATCAGACAAGAAGAATGGGCTAGACAGGCTGCATGGATCTTTGGTTTAACCTCTTTTCTATTTCTATAACCTTGTCTAGAAATCATACGTTGAGGAGATGGAAGAAAATTTATTAATGATGGTATGTTTGACAGCCACTATACTGGATTAAAAAGATCTCGGCTGGTGCCAAAGACAATGTAGGCTGCTACCTAACTAGTCACCCCAAAGGCCAAACAAGCATATATCCTGTAACCCCTCTTGAGTCCCATCAACACCAGTTAGTATTTTTATTGCTCACTTGTGTAGTGCTCCACACTTTCCCAGGCTCAGACCCACCTCTTTTACATCTTCATTTGCAAGCCTTTACTATTCCACATCAGGATCTTTCTCAAATAAGTCATAAGACTCATTGTATTGTCCAGAAATTTTGCTGATTTTGTAAATGCATATAAATTAGATGTCAAAACACTTTTTTTTTTTTTTTTTTTTGTGGTCCAAAATAATATTCTAGATTCAGAGCTACATGATGAATTTTCATCTCTCGGTTTTAGTCTCTTTTCCCCCCTTGTTCCTTGCATAACTCTGCCAGTGTTATTTCCTCCTGATTTGCACTATGCTTCTGGACTTCAGGACTTATTGTCTTCTAAAGTTATTTACACCTAAGAATGCAAGTTGATCAAAGTATTAACCAGCTAGTCACAGCAATCTCAGGAAAAGACTGAATCCTTTAGGTTACTTCAGAGCAAGTGTATTACCGTAGCCTGCAACTCTTGCTATTCAAGCAATATTTTTACATGTAGAAGTTTCAGCCTGTGCTAAATTTCTTACCATGCTCCCAAACTGATTTCTGTGGTAACTAGGTAAGTTAGGTTCAAGCCTTTAAAGTATAAATCCATTCTCCTCTGTTACAAAGCTGCTGTCCTATGAGCCATAAGAGAGGAGCTCATCATTACTAACACCATATATTTCCCTTCAAATCCACACATAACTTTCTACAGGTTATCCATACATTTACATGAAAAAATTGCAACCACTACCAGTTTGCTTGGGCAAGATGCATTTTACAAATTCCTTAGCATAACCTTAGCTTCTGACAGCTCCAACTACATGAACAAGCACTTGATGTCCAGATGTGAACAACATGTAAGATCAAACTTTCATTTTATTAAGTTACTTTTCCCCAACATAACTGTATTAAAACAGAGCTTCCTAGCAAGTCATTGAATCTAATTTTTAATATGCTATTTGTATGTATAAAGCAGATCTTACCTTGATCTTCTGAAGAAACCGGTGACCTGAAATAAAACAACAAAGTTCAGTCAACCTGTGCCATAAGAAGGTCACAAACGAGTTTCAAAAGTCTCTATGGGAAATTAGATATGGAGGAATTGAAAAGTTTTATTCTTGAGCTTATTTCAAAAGAGATATTGTAAGGTAGCTAAGAAAAAAAAAAAAAAGGAGTGGAAAGCACAGAGACCTTCTCTAGCAGCAGGTCCTGCAAATGAGTGGCCATATGGAACCACATTCATAAGGCTGTGATCTCACTGTTAAGCACTCATTCCACAAGTTTCTATAGGTACTTGGCAAAGAACTTTACTACCATTACTGACAGAAATAGCTCATGCTAATTTTGATCCTGATCCTCCAAAGATTATCAAATGGACAGTAGTTAAGTGTGGGCCAGGAAGAACCCTCACGACTAGAGGCAATGGAGGAAAGGGCAGCTTCGAAGGAACTCACAACTACTAAGGCCATTTTTATCATGAGTCAGTGTGATGCAGAGTATAAAACATTAATTGGAATTAACAAATTCATAATAATGGCACTTTCACAAAAGCAACGTAAATGGAACAAAAAAAAAAAAAAATCAAGGTTAAAAAAAAACAAAACAAAACAGTATCTGGACAGTGAAAAGCAACAAAACAGCAGCAACATGTTATAGGCCATCCTACCAATGGTTTAAACCACTGGTAGAACTCCAAGAGCAAGGGGTTATAAAACATGAGGGACCACTCTGTGCTGATAAACAGAAGGTCCCCACTGAATCCCAGGGATTGGATTCACAGCTCCCATTGCTAAAGATCTCACTCATCATGGTGCCAAGTACCCATGGCAAAGGAACATAAAGAAGTGTAAAGTATTGGCCTTTCATTTTTGTCTTTACTGCAGTAGCTTGTCTCAGCAAAACTAGGCTAATTGTATAGCCAAATCTGGGCTGTGCTTTGCTTATTGAGACCCAGGTGATGACACACAGTGGATTGGAACACTGCCTTATCACCTCCCTGACCATGATTTTCAACTGCATGTATAACCTTCCCACACAGCTAACAATGAGTTTATTCCTGTAGTGAATGGACCAACTCTCACTTCCACTGCAATACATATTTAATTTTTGCATCAACATACAAAAAAAGCCAAATTACTAAAGATTTTTAAATGTTTGTATTGCCAGCAAACAGACCAAAGTTGACATTAGAAAAGCAGCCTGAGAAGGAAGGGAAGTTAAAGTACACCAGGAACAAAGAGGGAAAGAACATACATATATTTAATGGAGTCAGCAGGGGCTAGAGGGAAAGCAAAGGGCTAGGAATCCTGGATTTAAAGGAATAAAGGAACTGAGGATACTCCATATCACAAGATTGTAAAGTAAGGTTGAGGATTATATAGGACATCAGAAACAGATACTCAAATACATGGAAGCAAATAGGAAAGATGGAAAGAAAAGGGAGGTTTCCTAACGAGGTATGCAAATCTTTATTTTTAAGAAGAGAGACATTCAAACAGAAAGAGACAAAACAGTTACAGCACAGCTGGAGCAATGGTCACTGTGAAAGGAAAAATGCGATTGTCTAATTAAGATTCTGACTGTGCTAGAAGCCGATGTATCTGTATGGATCAGAATTAATTAATCCACTATTGCCATTAAATTCTCTGATTGCTGCTGCACATCCTTAGCGTGTATCCTGCTCTGCTGTCAGCCAAACCAGCTATGTCCTTCAACTTCGTCTATGTCTGTGGAAATACTGTAAAAATTAAGGCAATTCAGAGGATTAGTAGCCATCATTAGGACTGTTCCACGACTTTCATCAGCATCAGTCCCCACCAAAAGCCCTTCTGAAAGTCAAAACTCAGCACAGCATTTCTGCAAAGGTTATACCATGTAAAAATGGCCATATCAAAAGATGTGATTATTTAGGTTTTTAAAGATAATTTTTACATGCAAGAATCACACCAGGGTCCTCAGCTAAAGTATCTTGGCACTCCATCTATTTCTAATAAAGTATCTCACAGTAACAGCTGAATTTATTCCTTGGCTTCATTTCTTAATTGCACAGTTTCATCACCTTTTAGACTTTTATTTGAAACAATAAAATAAACATTTGGCTTATCCCATAATTTAGCTCTTCGTTATGCCTTGTAAAGCAGATGTTAGTAGCTCCTTAAAAAAATCAACAAGAGATGCCATCACACCACCACCACCACCTTCTCAATTAAAACACTGAAGTGTGCGATGAAAAATAGGTTTGTGTACATTTAATGCACCCCAAATTAGTATGTACTTTGCAAAGTACGAATCCCATGCTCCTTTTTTGCATGCTTTGAACTTAGTGGTTAAACAGTGAGAAATCTAACAGGAACTACTGTTGCTACTAGTGTTTTCATTTGTCAGGGTTCATCAGGCATCTTTTGAGGCTGCATAGGCTGGTATCTTGAGAAAATAAGGTTTACGTACACAAGATACTGTGATTACGTATGCATATTTCTGCCTCACACTAATAAAGTTTGAGCCTGTTGGCTGATTTCCCGCAGTATTAACAGAGGAGGTAGAGACCCGATCACTGCTTTCATAAGGAAAGGCAATAGCAGGAGGTCAAAATTTCCAAGGTAGCTGTGAAGACACAAAGAAAGGTTCTAAATATCTCAGTAATAGGAAAACCTCAGCAAGAGCTTCCACAATTTGAGATACCAAAGGACTAAAGACAATGAATTAGACTTCCTTTATTCCACTACTCACAGAAAGAGTATTTTGACAGAGGAAAGGACTTTCAACAATTTTGTATAATTTCAGGCCATGCATTTAAGCAGAGGATGGAATTTCCCAAACCATTCAAGCACTGTCCTAACTACTCCAACAGGAGTCTTGCTTGTAACTATTGTGAAAGGAAATGAAGAACTGCTGACTTCATTTAAAGTCCACTTTGTTAGTGTTGGGCACTTTATGCATTGTTTGGTCTACACCATTCTTATGAGAGGGAGGAAGGAAATGAAAAAAAAAGAAAGCATAATGACCTACTTTAAACCACATCCACTCTCTCCACAGCCACAAGGGACTTACCTGACAACAAAAAAATCTGGTGGATGCTCATATTTCTGGTCACACATCTTTTTTTCAGTTTTTTAAGAAGTGTGAGGGATATACTGTGGCAGCAATGGTCACCAAATGGGTACCCTGAGAACAGTGGATTCCAAGCTGCTAACATCCACATAGGAAGTGTCTAACTAGCTCCTATCAGCTGCCCTCTGAGAATGATTCTAGCTATGTGCTTTAGAGCCACAAAGAGGCAAGCCATCGTTCACAACTTCCGTGCCTTATAAAAAGTAGAGACAAATCAGAGGTATTTCAGAAGAACTAACATGCTGTCAAGATCTGTATCCCCACCTGGGTCAATACACTTTGCAAATTAAATCAAGAAGAGACTTCCATTTAGTTCAACCTTCAGGAAAAGGATCTGGCACTGCAATATCCTGATCTTAGACACTTCAGAATGGAACTGCTTATTTTTTTGACATCTACAACAGTTACTTTATGCTCTTCTCCTGCTGGAAAATTAACAGTGCTGCCAAAACTAACTTGTAGGTTCATCATTACCACTACCAGCCCTTCCCCAGAAGAGAGTAAAGAGGTCCATATGTCTATGACTGGCTACATTTTCAGAATTCTTATGTTTTTCTATCAGCATTGCTCTTTCCCATACATAAAAGTGAAAGGGAAACCCAATTTCAAATGTTTTCACCAAAAAGTATCAATCTGATTTCTCTGTCCTGAGTTTGCAGGTGCTTTATGAAGAGTTTTTGCTGTACTTATTAATTGAAGAGAATACAAATCTTACTACAACAACAGGGAAGAGGATCAGAAAGAACGAGGAAGAAAGCATGTTGCCAACTTCTCATGCTGTTCATATCCCTCCTTATGCTACATGTCCTGCAGTGTTGTTCTCCTGTTGTAGAGCATGAAGTTCTACTGAGAAGAGATATTAGCACCTGCAGGCCTCAGTCTACAGTGGAAGCTGCATGTTGCCTGGTCTACTGTGACTTACAAAAGCAAAGCACTATACTTTGTCCTTACACAAGGTACACAAATATATTCCAGCAACTTAGCTTATGTGCAGAAAAGCCTGATAATGAAAAAAGGCCCTAATCATACATTCATGAGATGCTTCCAAGAAATGGGAAGACTCATGGTACTGAAGGCAGGAGACATAGTCCTCCTATAACAGCACTGTGCCTCAGAGTTCAGAGACTGATCCAAAGCTCACTGAAATTTTTCTGCTCACTCTTTCAGTGTTTAGATATATTGCTGGCAAAGGTCTAATCTCTGGTGCAGACAAGACAGTTTTCTGTATCATGAAAGCCTTCCCCAAACAGCCAAATACTAGGAGTTGTTTCCCAGTGCATTCCTTAGTATGCAAGCACTAGATTTATTCGGTACTGGAGGGGTGGAGGAAGAAATATTCATTTGTAAGCAAGGTAGGTCAGGGGGCTGTCACAATTTAGTGCCTGGTCAACAAAGGCTTCCAAAATCCAGAAAAACACAGGCAACCTCCAGCAGACAAATTCTAACAAAATTTCAGTAAATAGGTACATAATTCATGAAGACAAAAGTCTCTGGAGAAACAAACCCGGAGCTGATGTGAAGTTGCTATTTTAATCAATAAAGCTGTAGCAGAAACCATCTGCACTAGGCCTATTTAAAAACAGCCATTTAGAATTTAAAGGCCAAATAACAATCCACACGCATCAATTTTGCTGGGTTTCATGACCGTTTGTCTTTTTCCCAGCTCAAGCAATGTATTTTTGCAAACTTTCTCATTCATGTACCTGCCTGTGAGCAATGGAGAGAAAGAGCTTTTAGATTAAATCTGCTTCTCCTCGTTTTGTGTGTTCATCTCCTCAGAATTGAAAACAGTGTTCCTGTAGGGATTTATTCACATATTCTCTGATTGCAATGAAAGGTAATTCTTAGCACATTAATTTTTTTTTTTTTTTTTAAAGGTGAGGAAATTCCTCATTCAGC